CCTTAATAAAATAAATATTAAAATATATTTTGCAATGAGTGATTTATACGTTACATGATATTCGTACAGATAGTGTATTGCGAACGAATAATGGAGCACAGTCTCAAAATTGTTGCAGAACGTTAAATGCGGAGAAAGACGCTTTCAAAAGCTGTAAAGTAAAACAAGAGTTTAGTGATAATAAAGCGCCTGTAAAAAATACCACATATTGAATTTTAATTTAAAAGCTAACATTGCCGAAAGATTCCAGGGACAATGTCACCAAAAAACTGCTGGTTAGTTTAACGGGTTTTGTACTACGTTTCATAATCATCAGTAGATTCTTTTGTTCGCTGATTGTCATTAACATCCAATTCATATGATACACCACTTCGCTCAATCCAGTACTCTACGTAAGTAAAAATTAGAATAAATGATTGGAATAATGAAAGAAACAAAAAAGCATTTTTGCGAAGATCTTGCAGATTTCTTATTTTGCCATAATAATAGTATTTTCCAAATATGTCTCTTTATAGCAAACATAACTACCTTGAGCGTAACTTCATTTCCAGCCCAGCAATAAAAAAAAATCTGCACAAACATGCTGAATGCTCTGAAAATGATCATGGTGGCGAGGTTTGTAAGTGTCAAATGAGAAGATAGATCGTACACAACTGAACATAATACCAAAATACTGATAAAAAATTGAATGAAAATCACTTGGCGATACACATCGTTGATCGTTTCGACAAGTCTGTAAATATTTACACATTATATCACAATCACAAACAACATATTACTTTACAACAGATGGAGAGATACACTGTACATCGTACACGTATACAGCGAACACTATTTAACACATTTAATTTAAAAAATGCACATGTATAATAATTTTATTATCTACCTGATTATGCATAAATGATGAGAAATGTGCTCCGACAATGTGCCTATTTTACGTGACGCATTATTCAACGAATTTTTCGGAAATATTTCTTCCTCCCTACGCTTTGTCATGTTTTGAAGACGATACTTGAGAATTTCAAATTGCGCGCACGTTTGTAAGCAAAATCCTAACCATAGGGTTTCCGTCGCGACGTTTACAATCGTACCAACAATTAAAGCTAGAATATTTTGAAGGGACGTAAACCAGAATAAAAGGAACGAGGTGCAATCCCAAGGTACCCACATGTTATAGGGTAACTGACCCTCTAAAACGACGAGCACTGCTGCTGCCACAGCACCCAGTAACGAGAACATACATAAGAGTATGTAATATATGGTATACGATCTGCATTAAAAAATATATATTAGAAACATATAATAATCGAAACATGTTATTGTCGTACAAGGATGGTACAAGGCTGTTTTAAAATTCCATAGATTGACAATCCTGCTCAATAAATAAGGCGAGAGGAATATCAGTCGTTGCACGTGCTTTAAATAGCTCTGTTAATATTGGTGAAACGCACAAAACGCGTATATGCTTGAGAAAATTAATTTAGTTTAATTGTGTAATTAAGATTCTCTAGATTAATTGATTTATTCGTGTATAGCTTTATACCGACTTACTTATTAAGACTGATATTTTCGAAAATCGCGTCGACAATTATTAATATACCAACCTGATTGAACGGTCAAATTTGTTCTGGATATCAGTCTCATCTTTGTTACAGGCTTTACACGGTTTCTCTTGCAGAGTTTTAACTAAATTGATTATCTCGTCGCGATAGATTACAGCAGTAATCGCTTTGGGCAATATACTGATTGCGCAGAAGAAAAATAGGGAACCCGAAGCGAAGTCCTCCACGTTATCGATAACAAAGATGATATACAGCAAGGTAGCCAGCATGAAATACGCCATTAGGTATATCATGAAATAGGTGTACACGCTGTATAACAACTTGGAGTATTTCGAGGACCATTCGAGTGGTCGCCACAAACCGCTTATGGTATATAATAAGAAATTGAGAGGGAGTATCTGCATTTCTACACTTGCTATAATTAAAAGTAATAGATTCTTGTCATTGAAAAAAATAATATCTATCGTAAATAGTACGTGACATTGCAACAGATTCATTACCGTAAGTGTTCTTTCTTTAAGAATGATCAGTTATATTCTTTAAATGTATAAAAAATTATTTTGTAAAAATATTTTTCTAAACTTACTTTCGGTATGTATTTTTCTGCAGCACGATCTTGTGTAAAAACCTTATGATTAACTATTAACTTTCATAGAAAAACGGAGTATAACTACAGTTTGTATATGTATCAGTAAAAATAACTAATACACAACAATGCAGTATAAACGCGACAAGGATTCGTAAGATACTACGAATAGGCGCGTTTGCGTCGACTTCGTCATCCCTGTACGACTTAAAATTAATGATTCATTAGTAACTTGGTGCAATATCTTGTCGATACCTTACTACCGGTATCAAACTTGTAATTATAACGACGTCGTCGTTTGAAGAATGTTATCCCCTCCGATAAATTCCAACATAATGTCATGTTCCCATCAAATAAAATGTTTATTCACATTCATGGAAGCCATTCGGAAAGTCATGGAAACATTTCAGTGAATAATAATAGAAGTAAGAGCAATTACGTGCAATTATATTTCTCTTGCTTTATTACCTGATACTATCAAGCGTTGTTGAGAATACGTATGTTATTTTGCTGTAATTACTGTTCGTCTCTTATGAAGCACGAGGAGGGTTGACAGAATTTATACTCTTGTACAGTGTATCTTGTAGACGACTCATATAAATGGTAAAGATAAATTTTTGAGACTTTAAGCATAACGCGCGTGCGTACGAGCAATTAAATTTATGTGAAAATTTCGCT